CCAAGTTCAGTTGGTGACTACCACACCAGTTAACACTAAGACCACCCTCACCTAGCGCTTCGCATGCATGTTCGATAAGTTTTGCAAACCCGCCATGACATCCTAGCATCGTAGCGGCTCCGTCGCTTGCCACACCGATCAATTTTCGGATTAGTTTGTCTCCTCCAAGGTTATTCAGGACAAAGAGCACTCGCTTTGCGTAGTTTGCAGCTTTGTGAGAAAGTGTCCCCATAGGAATTGCAAGTAAGTGTTGGTTAAAAATGCTCCCGTTCAATTCAAAGGCTACACGGACGTCGAAATAACCCTCAGATCCATGGGTACCTCCGTCAACTAGCAGAGAAACCCCCCACACCTTGGAAAAAATAATCTCTAGGGCAGCCAGGTTAATAGATACGATGGAGCGAATATATCGACCAACTTCATGTTGAGATGGGTGGCCAAGCCTGTAGTTTTGAAGGGTGTCGCCAATAATCCGAAACAAATTCGTAATTGAGCGAAAGCTGACCATTTCATTCGAGAACTTAATAACAGCCTCAAACTGGAGACGATCAGAAATAACTAGTAGGTGCTTGCAATTCGTGTCTTCAAAGAATTCATCAAACTCCGCCCCATCTACAAGGTCGGATTGCCCAACTTCTTCAGATGCGAGTGTAATCTCTCTGTCCTCACCTTCGTCATTGAAGTATAGCTCGCGAATTAAGTCCACTACACCTTTTGGGATCTCGATATGACAACTGTAAGTCCCGCCAAGAAATACATCCATACCTGCTGGACGATCGAAAAAGGTTAGTCGAACGCGACTTCCTTTGGGAAGAGAGATAAACTCATCGTATTTAGTCTTGTGCTGATCTTTCATGTGACTGACGATGTTATCTCTGCGAAAAGACCGGAAAACCTTTTTAGTTGCAGGCTTCTTACGTGTTGCCTTCGCTAGCAGGACATCAAAAGGCCCGGTCGAAGAAGCTGGCTTCTCTTCCCTTCCAAAGGCTGTACAAAATTTGCATTGTGCTTCTAAAACTTCGCCACTAATAGTGGGTACTGGCTGGAGCCCAAGTTCGGTCTCGTACGACGTAAGATATCGCTGACGTGGCTCTGACTGCGGTAATTTGGCTTGTTTAAGCTTCAGCGGACGAGGCTTGAGTAGTGGAGTACGAGCTTTCCCTTTCTTCTTCTGTGGAGCCATAGCGGAAATCGTGAAATGAGAGAAGAAGGGAACAATGAACAGGCGCTGGGCGGTTGTGAAACCACTTAAATGAGAGAATTATAGAACAATGACAACACCCAGAGCTGTTTAAAGAGCTTTGGGGCTTCACGCAGGCGGTGGTTAGCTTTTACACTTGTGGTTTGTATGGAACTTTCCGGTTTCAACTAGGCGGCTGTCAAAACTTCGTTTAGGTAGTCAGTATTTTCTCGCAACACAAAGCCTAGTTTTAAGAGGCCTGACTATCGAAACATGGACAGCGTAGGGATTGGTCTCTGCTAGGCGCTGCCAAAGAGTGATTTTGCTATGAAAGGAATGACAATGACCTTATCATCTCCTTATTTAACGTAGGTTTTGATGTTGCTGTAGAAAATTTCAGCCCCGAGGTGGTAGCCTTGACCATTAATAGGATCAAGGTCAAGGGTATGAACAAGAGCTTCTGGGGGGTGGTAAAGTGCGACTGTGAAGTAGCGCTGACGTCAATCTCGAACCACAGTTTCTCGCCGGTATTTCACCGGTTGTTGCCGCGGACCGTATCACGGATACATGTACGGTCTGATCTGACTATAGCGTTCCATGATGACAAGCACACACGCCATTTTCGTGGGGGAAATGACACAATTTAAGCATTTTTAGGTTGTAGACATGACATTTGATGGCATTACATTTAACTTTGATGTCACCAAATGGGAAATTGCCAAATCCTGGTGCTATTCGATTTGTCGTCGCCAAATCGTGGTCACATTTGCCAGATCCTGGTACTCTGACTGATTGCATTTGCGATCTGGCACTATGTATGCCGATTAACACTGACAATCTCTTTAGGGCACGGATGTAATACGTAGTAGGTAGGAAGCAGATGCAAAATCACTGGTGTTATGAGATTTATTCAATAATATTATCTGCTCAAGCGTGAGTAGTTCTCGTACACAACCTGGGCATAAGGGAAGCCGTCTTAAAGGCTTGCAACAGCGACCTCAATCTGTGACAGGAGCGCTGGTAGTCACCACTAGCCTCCATCCCTATCGTGTCCCGGACACGATACCCCATCCGCTGGTCCACTTGCACGCCCTCAACCCTTTTGGACCTGTTTAGTTAGGACCTTCGCGCTCACATTTGGTTTGCTCAGCGTTGCGGCGCGGGCTTGTCTCATCTTAGTAGCCTGGGATGCCGTCACCTAGGCGAAGCCTGTCCAGGTGATTGAACGGCTCCTGATAGACTGCCCGAAGGCTGTCGCAATTTGGGAACAGAAGTGGCGGCAGCTTCGTAAGTAGTTTGGGGCCTTATGCCCGAACGGGGTACGGACGTTGTCGACACTCCGTACCCGCGCTCCTCGTGAGCGCTAGAAGCCGTGCGCTTCAGACTGTCGCTTGGCAGCATGCGCTTGCTGACCAAGTGGACGAACCGGACACGAAGATCACGCTGGTCCACGATGTGGGCTGATCTTCATGGAGCTCCCGTAACTCCGAGGGTGAGTACTTGAGAATATCAACCCACGCCCAGAACATATCCTCACACGAGCTCCAGTTGGAACAGTTCTCGGGAAGAACCGAGGGGAAACCCCAGAGAGGGTAGAGACCACCCCGGCTATCGGGCTTCTTACGACAAGCCGTGAAATCTTTCAAAGGGATGCAACGGGGCGCCTGTAAGTTGTCGGCGAACAGCTGCTTCTTCTGGACCAGGGCACGTTCGTGAACGTGTGGCCACCAACAAGGCCACGAGGAGCGACGGGTATCTCCAGAATGAGGTCAGCCCAGATCTCTCCTCGGAAGGCCAATGACCGCTTGAGTTGCTGGCTGCCTCTGGTTGATGGGCGCCACCACCCGGCAGCTTGAAAGTCCTCCTGCTGCTGGTCGAGGTCGTTCGTGATCTTCTGGGGTTCATGGATAGCACCCTCCTTCTTTCCGCGGACCAAAGTGGTTTCGATAGAAGTACCCAGTCTCCTTCTTCTCGCGGAGTGGATACTTCGGCGCCGTGTGCTTCTTAGAAGGCTTGACAGCTTCGGCTTTGACGGCCTTAGCACGCGCAAGGCCATCTGTGAGCTAGAGATGTTTAAGAGGTTTCTCCTTCTCCTCGTCTCCAGCTTTGGGAGAGCCCTTAGCCTTAATGGCAGGACTCCCAGAGCGCACAGACGTCCTGGGACTGTGATCACCGTGATCAATAGCAAGTGAGTGCACGCTGTCGTCGTCGCGCTTGCTGGGCACTGGAGTGTACCCTCCCACGGAGCCCACAGGAGCATCGTGAGTGATCCCGGACTCGGCCTCGTCCTCACTGCCCAAATTGAACTCACATACAGCGAGCCGCGGGTTCGGCCGGTTGTCTGGAGAGACCGAAGGTGACGGACTGCGGTGCTTGCTTGCACGTTTGCTCGCTGCCGCGTCACCAGCTGAGCCGGTCGCCTCCGAGGCCACCTTAGTAGCCTCCTGGAGTGCAGAGCCTTTGCCGCAAGGCTTAGTGCTCTTGGCTTGCGCCTTTGTGGAGGCAGCCTTGGAGCGTGTTTTCGCACCGCTCTTCGCAGAGACACAGGGCATGCTTAAGGTCGATGTGGAGACCGAGGGGAAGAGCGCTCAATAGCTGGTCGAGGCTCTAACTGTAACATGACCCTCCGGCGCGTTCGCGCAGCCAAGTCGATTAATTTCGACTTTGAGCTTGAGAGTTTGTGACGTACACTTCCTCATTCTGATTGGTCGGTAAACCGAACCTAAGGGGGAAAAGATGTAACGGGGTATGTAACCCCAAGTGTACCCCTGGTGAAGTGTGACACGTCACACTTTAGGATATCGGGTACATGGTACCAGGGTCGTCAGAGGCCAATCATTGGCTGATGACATAGCTTTACTATAGGTAGCTTATAGTTTGTAAATTTAACTCAAGCTTAACATACCTATAAATACATTTAGTTTACAGCTTACCTTAACTTAATCACTTCGCTTCCTTAGTCAAAAGAGACCTGTGAGCTACTGTTCACTGATAGTTTGTATACTCTCGGAAGCCAACTTCTTTCACTTACGCAACCCCAATACAACCTCATGCAAGAATATCTTAGCCAATCAGAATCAAAATATCATTTACATAATATCAGTCACTCAGGGCTTAAGTTACAATTACAATCCCAAACACGCCGACTTGAAGGTGCCACATATTAACAAAATGTGAATGTTGATTAATGCAATTTACAATTTAATTTATCGAAACCAGGGCTCCGACAGAAGGTATGCGAACTGCAGGGAGAACGACTTCCTCAAAAACTTGAGCCAAAAAGACTACGGAAGCACCCACTAGAGATGCTATGTCGTAACGTGGCCTTATTCGACTTAATTTTTATGGAGGTATGTCTATTGAGCAGCATTTTTTACACTCTATATTGACGGGCGTATCATACTATAGATGGAAAGCGTAGACTTATTGTCAAAGCTATGGCTAAAAAAATCTACCTGCTATTGCACCCTGACAAGCGCCGTTGGGTACCGTTAGAACTGCGTGCAGGGTCGGGCGCGGCACATATTCAGGAGACATGCAAGGCAATGAGTGCGTACAAGAATGAAATGATACCGGCAGATGAGCACAAGTGTTTTGGAGAGCGATATGTCTAAAAAAAATATTGGGACTACCTCAAGACAATATACCGTGAATACTACGACAAGACTGTAAGTACTATGACAAGACTAAAAATACTACGACAAGACTAAAAGTACTTTATTAAAACGAATGGCTATAGGCCTCACAATCCTTTGGGTGGACGAGGATCACTCCGACTCACAATCCATTTGGTGGGGAAAGTATCAGAAACCTGAATCTAATGACGCCGCAAGCGACATCGTTCCAAGACTTGCTACAAGGGGGCATTACTACCACCACACATGTAATTAAAAAGGAGACAAGGGATGTCTACGCGTCGTACTTCAAGAAGTTATGTGACTTCTGTATCTCAAATGAGTACTCAGATCCCGCAACGATTAGGCATCATGAGTTGCCTTCGCTTCTTTGTCAAAGTGTACTGAGCTTACACAGCGCCAAGCCACCCCTGATACGTTGGATATGCTTCGAGTACTCCACTCTCACTTAGACGTCACGTCCGGATTCCCGGTAGCGAGTCGTTTGTGGTTCTTTAATATGACGCTCACTGCTTACGGCATGTGCAGAATAAATGAAGTACTGAGCCTCCGGTGGAAGAATCTCCCCCAAAGCCTCACGCGACCGAGTACTGCCGACCCTAGTGTGCCCTATGGCGTCCACAAGCTGGAAGGACGGAAGACAGACGTTGCATAAGGTCGCTGCTACACACATCCACAACCTGACGTACTCTCGAAATTGACAACGTGGTTGACCTATGTACGAACGAAAACGGATCACGAGTGGAATGGCAACGATTATATTTTCCCAGCACTGTCCAAGATATTGAAGAGTGTTATCAAGACAGACGACACATCTACAGGCTGTGAGAACGCACGAGTAGAGTGGGGTAAGAAGATGTCTGGGCAGGCATTCATTACCTTGCTCAACTCAGCTGTACGAGATCTAAATCGTAATGGAGTGTCAACGCGTGGGTACATTCGACAGCAATGGCGCAATATTCCGTCGCGTTGGTGTGCAGTACAGATTTATGTTTGCGCCACCAGAAGGACTGTGGTCACTGCGGATGGTGAAGTGGTGGGCCGGATGGACACAAAATGAGTCGGCGGAGACTCTAGTGCGTTATTTACTTGACCAAGCCGCTACGGACGAAGACACCCAGCTGGCGGACTGCGTAGCCCCTGATCGTGATGCGCATGTAGGCTGTCCTACCGCATTTTCCTGACGTAAGCGTAACACGATGGTGTGAGCGCCACAACCATCCTTTACGATGGAAAAGAGGTTAAGAACTGTTGAAAACTCAGTCAAAGCTCTCGAGGACAAAATCAATATGCTTCTCTCCATTATGCAACCAGCACACCAACAATCTCTGAACACGACACAGGAGGTCGCGGCCAAGGAGGCGAGGGTAACGCAAGTACCAGTTCTTCCACCCGTGAAAGACTGGAAAGACATGTACAAAATGTATTCGAATGCTGACGCAGCTCGCCACTTATTCAAGCCTGTCAGTACATGGACAACGGTGGAGAGAAAGAAAAGTGGTGCTTTACTTAGTCGCCTAAGTGGTGCCAAGCTTATTGCTGATGACGTATGAGACTTCTCAGTTCAATAGAGATCTCCAAGTCCACTCAATGCCGCCGATTCAACTTTATCATCGTACGCAGCCTACTACACAAAACACTTGCTGAACAACACAGCAGGTTCGATCGTGAACGTTCTCACAATTGATACGCTAGCCAGATGCATTCGCCTTGACAAAAAAAAGGGTCGCAAAATCTAAGGACGCTTATCTGTAGCAAGTATTGTTAGTCTTGCCACAGTATTTTTGGTCTTGTTTCGTACTTTGATCTTATAGTATTTTTGATCTTGTCATAGTACTTTTATAAAACTACTATGTTTGGACTTGTTATACTTTTTTTTTGCACTCAATGTATTTTTTCCGTAAAAAACAACCTTCAAAATTTTGAGGATTTACAATTTTTGGATGATGGAAAGTGTGCTATGATTCGTCTTGCAATCGAAAGTTGCATGCTTTGTTATTTAGGACACGGAAGTTATTTCAGGCCAATATCTAATACAACAACAAGTAATTCGGAAGCAGGTCACATTTGCAGTTCACACTGAAGCCTAATCAGGGTTAGGGTAAGCAACCAAATTAACCCCATTTACAAAACAAAATCAAGGAAGGCTCCATATTTTCAACAGAGCTATAGGGGCCTTCAGAAAATGACGCAAAGCACAAAATTAATAGGCATTTGCGTGCAGAAATGCAATAGCCAACAAGTGCATTTGTGACGATATTTACGATTCAAATCTTTAAAAGAAAAATCACACAAATTTGCTCTGCTCGAACGTCGTCATTTGATTATGTGATGACGCAATTTGCAAAACAGTTTCTGCAAAATGCGAGCGATTTAGTGCGACCTACCCCCGTAATTCGCTACAGGATTTGTGCGAGCGACATTTGGGATCTGCTATATTTTTTGAAGACCCCCATAGGTTTACAAGAGCGAAGCGCTTTATATATATAAATGCTTGCTACGGTGCAGGATATCCTAAGGCGCTCCGCCGAAAAATCGAGGAAGCGCACTATTGAAGGTCCATGGCTACTTGTAATTCAGCGAAACTCAACACTACACGGTTAAGTTTTCATGTGTCAACGTACGATTTGTTGGTCTAGTTCGCAGTCAAAACTTGGGGAGTGTTGATTTCCCAAGCATTTCGTTTTAATTCAAGTAATTAGTTTAAATCCAAAAACGTTTAATGTAGTGAAGTAAGCCCGAAAAAACTCAATGTTTGGGGCTACTTTAATGAAGTCCCAGAGCAATTTCTGTACATGAACGTGTTTGAGCGAAATACTGTGGTTCCGTTTTGAATTTGGATTTGTATTAATCAAAAATTAAGATGCTGCAGTAAAAAGCCTAATGTTTCACAAAACTTTCGATCAAGAAGCCAATGAATGGCATCACGCCAAAATGCTTTTTCTCAGTTCGATGGCGCACTGGGTGATGTGCTTGGATTGGCATCAGCTTCGCACGTCACACGAATTTCGTTCATCTTTAAAACTGAATCAGACTTTTTAAGCACGAAGGTTGTTCCCAACAAGACGCTTCTGTCGGGGTTAAGTACTAATGCTGTTGTCTTCTTCCGAGGTAGTTCTACAACAACAGAGATAACATTCGTGCCGCTAACCGCGTCGATGGAGCCATTTTCTTGTGCGGCTGTGGTGCCATTGCTCTCTGAGTCAACCTCAATCTCCAAGTTTTCCAGTTCACTAAAGCGGAATTCTTGACACCGGCAGATGTAGCTCAGTACAGAGTACAGAAGAAAAATTAGGATCTCGTGGCCTTGTACAGATATCCACTCCCAGACGCGCCAGCGATTGTCAGATCCAGTCAGTGCAGTGATGGTGGCGACGAAGAGAAATCCCTTTTGGAGTCGTCGAAAGTTAAGGAATAGTGTCCCTTTCCACATGACCAACGTTGTATCAATGCCGAGCTGCTGTATCTGAGCCGTCACATCTTTAGATTTGCTGCTGGGTAGTGGTGGAGCAAGAACATGATGGAGGCCCAAGAGATTCCCCAAATGACCGCGATACCGATGTTGCTGACTTGTAGCTGCTTCAAGATAACGAAAGCAAGAGCCCACTCAACCGAAACAGAGCGAATACGAAAGATGTCGCTCCGCTCCAAGGATTTCTGCGTGATCCCCCAGCCGGCTGCAACAAACAAAGCGATCTCTGCTGTCTTTGCTAGCGCCACAACTTGCGCTAGAAGCGCTGAAATCGCCACTATATTGAATTTCGGACTTGCAAATTGGCCAGCGGTGTACTTGGCAGCAACGGAGAGTCCAGTGTAGACCACTTGGGTTGCCGGGATGGCCAACAACTTGTAGTGCAGAGCCACAGCACATCCCCTTGAAGCAAGATGCATGTGCCACATCCAGACGCAGCCCCATCCACCCCACAGCGCTGTACTTGCTGCATAAAAAGCAGCTCGAGTCGTGTCTGTTACCAGCATACACCCGCCGTCCGCCTTACAGAGCTCCATGCCTACAGTGCCTTTAACGGGTTCTCGGATGAGAGGAGAGATGGTACACTCCTTAGACCAGCGCTCATCGTCCGCCTTTGATCGACCTGGGACGTTCTCCGGGCAGTAGTAACATGTAGAGTCATGGCCGTTTGCTGGCGGTGGGGGATACTCGAGACACGATCGTAAAATGGCATCTGTACCGCCTAAAAGTTCGCATGCATCGATGTAGAAAGTGAGTTGAGTTGTGCTGCTGCCCATGAGTCTCGCAAAGTCCGATTGAGACGAGGTATTGCCCGATCCAGCGACTGTCTTCTTGGACTGGTACACGAGGCTGTCAGGAGATTTGTTCTCCAATGGGAAAGACTGGCAATAGAAGTCGAGTGTGCGATTCGCCATGGCACAGAACGAAGGAGCGAATGAGTCATTGCTACTACTGGCACTGGCGTCCGATGGAAGATTAAGGAAACCTCTCGCTGCTTCGTCACAAGCCAATAAGTGCAGCATCACTCGATCATCGCCGTCCTCTAGCGTAGTCATTGGGAATCTGAGGTCGACCATTATCTCAAAGGTTCCGTCACTGCCGAGATCGAAGGTTGCGAGGTATTCTAAGGGCGAAAACACGTTGTCTAGGTCCTTAAAGTAGTGAAAGTCAGCCTGGCCGAAAAGAGTCTCGAAAGCTGCCGAGGCGGACACTCTAGTGGTCGTGCAGCTTAATAACAACAAGGGAAGAGCAAACCTCAGCATTGTGTGTTCTCGATATGAAGACTGAAGGCAAAAGACCAAAAAGAAAATGACATGAGATATAAATATTCCGCAATGGGTTCACCTTTGCTATTCTCACCTCACATCGGAAACTACAGTGTTGTAACAACTTCAAATGAAAAAAAAAAGAAGACGTAGAGCCTTGAGTTAAAAGTAATCGGACTCAAAGCGCCAACGATAAATGATGAACGACATTTTGGAATGCAAATCTCACTCCAACGTAGTTCCCCAATTGTATCTCGGGATTGATTCAAACCCGTACAAGGTATGCTTGGTACGTCTTTACGCAATTGATTTGCTGCCTCGAGCTTGAAGCTTACCACCAGTCCAACAAGTCATACAGAATCCACATGAGCGCAAGTTTATCGTGTCGCCATTAGGGTCACGTCACATGTCCGGTCCGAAGGGAATCGTGATTCAGCTCTGCTCATGGCGAACAATGTATCCCCCAAGATGAACAAATCTTCGTCGTCCAACAGAGTGACAGTCATAGGTACAAAAAAACGATGCCGCAGTCACTGCTCTGAACGTCGAATGCTGAGGTATTTTTTTGTTTACCATTGCGGATAGCTCTCGTGGGTCATTGAGGCCTCCCAGTGCAAATGAGGGTCATTCAGACGCCTCCGAGACGTTTTGTGCCTATAATTATCGGCGCTCAGTCTAATGAGCCTCGTCCTCAAGCAGTCGCAAAGTCATCATCATATATTTGATCAAATTCCAGTCGACAATGGCGTCTCGAAGACCCCCTTGCAATCGCTCGAAACAGCGCGCACTTTGCAGTCCCCATCTCTATTCAGCTCTCGTTTTGTTGCTCCTGGCAAGTAGCTCATCAATCTCACAAGCAGACGTGACCGCGCCGTACATATCAACTCCATTATCGTCGTCCAATGACCCAGACTACTACTACCAAGTGGCAGTAGAGAGCTACGCCTCCCGATTGCAGTATCTGGCCGAGTACGAACTGGGAGACGACGGAACCTTCGAGATCGCGCTAAGCATCTTGCTCGCCATCGCAGTTCCCAAAACCGACGAAGGACGTGACATGCTCTACCTCCTCGTGTGCAATGCAGACGCCGCCAAGACGTTCCTCGACCTGCCAGCCGCCAGCAACGACACGTCCGTCCCTTCCTACTGCGCCATGCCCAATCGCACTCTGGACTACTATTGTCAGTCGGTCCCTCTTGACGACGAATCCCCAGACGACTACGTGTACCAGTCCCTCAAGGTTGTGTCTGGATCGATGGCTGAATTATCGCCACCTCCGTACTCGTTGTTTAGTCGGGAGAACGCAGACGGAGACAGCAAAGCCTCCAAGTCCAGCAGCAGCAACGTCGTGTTCTTCCTAGATTCCTGCGAGACGTTAGGCGGCCAGAACGGGATCCTCCGCTCCTGTTTGAGTCGTCCTCCAAGGTCCAGATCCAATGGCCGTGGCTCCCAAGACGACACCTCGTGCTTCTACTGTCCACCTAACTACCCAACGTCGTACACGCGCGAGATCTCTGCAGACGCAGAGCGTGAAGGATGTAAAACGTCTCCGCCTTTGCCTCCAACAATCCGTGGCACCGTCTCAATGAATCTCTGCACCGCGCAAGGGAACTGTCTAGGGAAAGCTACACGGTCCCGCTCCACTTTCTTCGGACTGACTGCGCTGGCGTGGGCTGTCACCTCGTTCGTCTGGATCGTCCACATCCGCTCAGCAGCACGAGACGCGGTGGTCGAGCTCCAGACCAAGATGAAGCTCGTTCCCGTTACACAGACGCTCCACTCGATCGCGTATTTCGCAGACCTCTCCTCCGAGCACAAACTCGTGGGCACCGCTCGCAGTCTCGTTCACAATATCGCCATTCTGGCGCAACTCGTAGCATTCGCCGTCTTTGCCGAAGTCGTCGTGGTCATCGCCAAAGGCTGGAAGATCACACGCCCCGCTTTGCTCCCACGCGAAATCCAATGGATCCGCGTCGTAACGTTGAGTTGGGCAGCGTCCTTCGCCGTGCTGAAGCACGCGGGGGACAAGCAGCTGGCTGTCGTGATCGTCTGGGGCCTCTCGTGGGCCTGCGTGGTGTGTTCATGATCTGGTACAACTCGGCCTACAACCTCAACATGCTCAAGTATCAGCTCGCCATGGTACGTCAGCTCGATCTGGACCCCCAGCTGACGCCTGTGCACACCAAGTTCATGCTGTTCCGTCGCTTCCGTGCCTTACTGGCAGCTTACATTTTCTTGTCCTGTTTCTTGGGCGTCGTGGGGCTCGTGAAAGACGCAACGCACCAGTCGTCGGAATGGACTTCTCTGCTGGGAGACGAGGGCCTCACCTTCTTTCTCTTTGTCTCTCTGGGCTACACGTTCCGATGTCGACGCTTTGGTCGCTTGCTCCGAGTCCCAAACACTACCGTACCCCAACCCGATGGGGGTACCAACCAGTCAGTTGATCAAAACTCCGTCCATCCCGCGAGTATCCTCCCGGAGCCAACGTCGCTCGAGTCGGCAGAGGCGTCGAAACGCAAGAGAACAATCTTCGTACTCAATCCAGACCACGCGCCCTCGCTGGCGACGACGATCGAGCCGAGTGAGCACGTCGTCAGGCCCAATCCGCTGCCTAAGAGCACAGTCACGCCAGAGAACACGACGTAGGATTGTTAGCCGCCTGAATATATGTACACTGCTTCTTCATCGTCGCCGTATCGCGAATGTGGCTTCTCCTTGCTGCAAGGGCCGCATCGTGGGTCCAGGCTGGACTCCAGCTGCTGTCTCTGCGCCCGAGCTCTTGGCTGGAGGCGGCTGAACGAGAGGGAACTGCGTCGTGGGCGGCAGTCCGAGCGCAGAAAACACAATCGTGTCAACCTGTCGCTCTGCCAGCAACGGCATCCCGACGGGTGGCGCCGGTCTCAGCACCCGATCGCCTTTCTTCTGGAGAGCCGACTTGTTGGTGGACGTTAACAGCCGATCCACGACGTCCTGGGGCTCCACAGTGTGTCTGGGTGCTCCTCCTCGCTGGCAGACGATCCCTCGAGGCCGCATCTTCTTCCTCGCACTGGCCTTGTCGTCCGCGCAGCCGGCCACGATCTGCTCTTGGCATTGCCGCCAGCGCCAGATTGTTCGGCGTCGCGTTTTAAACTCCTCTGGGGGCAACTCGGGGTAGAACTTTTCGATCGTCTCACGGACGCTTTTGCTCGCAGCTAAGTGCTCCAACACGCGCCGCTTCTCGTCCAGAGAGAAGGACGATCGCTTGGCTTTATTGACACCAGCAGCTTCAGTCTCCTCGTCACTCGTCCGTGCCCCTGCACCTGTTCCTGTCTCTATATCGGCGTCTTCTGCTCCTTCCTGCTTGTCGTCGAGCAGCTGAGGCTGCAGCTGTGTCTGCTGGCTACCTCTAAGTTCCTGTCTCTTTGTGGATTGGTCCACAGCAGTGGCAATGAGTCCCTGGATGCCTCCTCCCTCCTGTATCTGCTCCTGTGTATTCTGCCGCATCGCGTCATCAGGTTCTTCGTCGCTTTGTGGCATCTGCGAGCTCCTGTTGCTATTTCGGACCTCAATGGGGTCGAAATCCGCCATTTCCTGCTCGTTTTCGCTCAAAAAGGGCTCGTCGTGGTCGTGAATCTCCCCTTCAAGGCCTCGAGGTATCGGTGGCGAAGGTCGCTGCGTTCTAGGCCTACGCATGCGCTTTCTAGAGGCTCCTTGACGCGTCGATGCGCCAGCCAGGATCTCGCGAGCATTGCGTCTCCAGCCGAGCACCAGCCGACGCCGCGCGTCGTAGCTACCGGGCGGGAGCGTCGGATAGAAGTGAGCGATGGTTTCGCGTACGTGTCCACTCGCTCGTAGATGCTCCAGCACACGGCGCTTCTCGTCCAGCGAGAAGGAGCAGCGCCGAAGCGGTGGCGGTGCCATCAGGAATGCGGAATTGGGTGTGTGGTGCACATCAAGCTCAAAACAGCAACATTATGTGCTGCGCTAAGTTTTAGCTGTCAGGAGATATTTGTATGTTACAATATAAAAACACTTAGATAAGGTAATTCCTCCGCAACTTCACGTTGAAGCGTGCGCCACCTGGCTAAACGGATCATAGGCGCCGATACATGTAGTGGCCAAGCATACAGTTTTCCTGTTGGACACGATGTAAGGACGTTTGGTACTCTGCGAAAGGTAGAGTGAAAGGATCGTGTAAGGTTTAGATGATACTATGGTCAATGGCTCCCTCTCGGTCTCGATCTGGGAAGCTCAGCAGCATGGCGGTCTCCTTTAGTTCGTCGTAGGTGGGTTCGGGGTGTGGTCCGTCGGTACTCTGAAGCGGCTCTGGGATGTGGAACTGAGGCGTTCCGGGGCTGAAATCTAGAGCGGAATCCCTCTGCTCGTCCAACTCGTCCTGATTGGAATCGTGGTCCTTCTGGTTGTCGGCAATCGAACTCCTTCGGCTTCGCGGTTGCTGTTTGTTACTCCGTTTGCGCTGCTCCGAGTTGCGCTGGTTCTGGTTGGCACGCTCGCGGTGCATCTGGCAGAAGTTGTGTAGCTCCCCGTTGCGCTTGTTAGCGCGCAAATTCATGCAGCGCGTGCTTTTGTATTTGCACCGCAGTTCGTCAGGTGGGTCGATAGCTCGAGCGGCTTCGGCGGCAGCGCGCTCGGCTTCGTACAGGGGGTCGTACGGTACTGCGACGCGCCCACCGGTGGGGAGCTCGACGAGTTTGTGCCCGTCCTCGTCGAAGACCACTTGAAGGCGTTGAGTTGGGTCCATCCTGCTGGGTTTAAAGTTCGTTGGACTGGAAAAACGAGAGTGCTGGTCGATGTGGTCTCTGCTTGTTTGCGAGTTGCGGCGGACCGGGCGGGACCTGACGTAGGCCGAGGCGGGAGACAGGCGAGAGAAGCCTTGAGACCGCCCCGATGACATTACATTCATGAGCGTAAGCAGTGGACGGCAGTCCAACCGGGTCAGCTTGAACACGGCGATGAAGCAAATACTTGTACAGGTACACGATTGCCTTCGCCTTGGCTGTTATAAGCAGCAAAGTGGTGCCTGTACACTACAAACGCACAACTGGCTGATCTTCTTGTCGAGCGTCGCCATTCAATTTTTAAGCGGCAGTACGGTTTGGCTACAGTATCACAAGCTTTGCTTGGTAGAAGCCTTGGAGGCTTTTGCGACAGCAGCAACTGAGCCCAGTGGGTCCCGGCACCGTGTACCACCTCTCACGCACGAGGTCAAAGGTCCAAAGAACGTCGCGAACGACGTTGACAGCATAACGATCAATGGAGAGCGAGGAGCTCATCCGGCACTGCCGGGCAATGGCCGCCAGCCGTTTAGCAGAAGGCCCACTGCAGCCCGGACACATGCAAATCTCCATGAGCTGGTGCCGATACTCTGGCGCCATTTTAACGCTATCAAGATCAGGGCAAAGCACCGCTCTCTATGCCAGACCTAGCTCATGCGGGGCTGGAATACTAATGCTCTTCACCTCAGCCAGCCGAGCATCAAGTGAAGTTGGGCGAGTAGTGAGTAGACTCCATTTTTCGAGCTGGACGCAATAGGAAAACGAATAGCGTGAATTGGGAAGTATCAAATGCAGTCTCTACCTCTACCACTCTAGTGTAGGTCTAATGCGTGTCCGCCAGCTGCTGCAGACGCTAATTCGCCGGTCGTATTCTCTTACGCGCCAAAATGGTCTTCAGGAGCAGCTCTGCCTCCCATTCATTTAACGGCGGCGTCGGGGAGTCCTCAGATGTCCGGATCGGTTCGGGGAGGTCTGAGGCTTCTGACAAGTTCGGGTTGGCATCGTCGAGATCACGACGCTGTCGCTGCTTGGCGTCGAAACGACCTTGATTGGCGTTGGCCTTGGTGCGATGATACTCGCATAGATTGTGCAGCTCTCCGTTGCGCTTGAGACTACGAGGGTTCGTACAGCGAGTGCCCTTGTACTTGCACACAAGCTCATCCACTGGACTACTAAGTGGACTAGAAGCTCCAGCGCGGTGATCGACTGGGACCTGAATGAACTTGCCCGTCGGGGGGTGCAGCATTAGTCGGTGCTCCACGTCGTCCTTGTTGAAGTGTGGCTCGGGGGTCGACATCTTTTGGTGATCGTAGGCGGAAAGTGGTCACAGTGTCGCGTCTGATGAGGAGAAATCGGAAGTGGTGGCGGAACAAACCGAGTCGTCATGCACGAAAGAGGCGAGAGATTCCTCGGGGGTGATCGAGGCCGCCACGAAGGCGCCGTCTTGTTTCAGATTCACGCAGCGCTCATGTGCGGCGGCGAGTTTTTTTCATCATGGCACGTACGCAGAGCTATCTTGTTGAACACGGTTTGATCAGGTGCATCACTGACCGCGGTTCATGGCCCTCGAGACGAGCGCGTCTCGATGGCGCTTCCGTTTCGAAGCTCATCTCGTGCTTGGACAACGATCCCACGTCTGACGTGCACTGAGTGGCTAAAGACGCCTCACTGTGGCCAATGTGCAATCAGCGGACCGACTCAAGTGGTCACAGATGAATATTGTGAGCACTTTCGATGCAAGATTATCGAAGGACCACGACTTCTGGCTGAAAGGACGGTGCACGAAACACTCGTCAATGTCGACCACCGAGAGGAGACGTACGTACGTTCTTGCAATCAAATCGTCAATGCACTTCAATTACCAGCGTAAACTCGATGATTTTGCCGAACGGGCCCCTTTAAGTAAACATGAATTTTAAAATACATTTAATCATATTGTAAAGTCGGGCTCCTACATGACATGTGGTAAGCTTACTTAATTTTGGCTGAGCTGGATTTAAACCAATAAATTTGAAATGATAGAGACGATTTCATCTTCTGGCAGAGTCGTTGGCTACGCTAAGTGACTGTAAATGGCTGTATGGAGAGACAAGTGCTACTGATCGATCAGTGCCAGCCTGGACTGACGGATGTCGCCACTGCCAACGCGCGACGCTGCTTGGCTTCCTCGCACTGCTGCAGATATTTCGGGTCCTTCTCATAGGAGAACACCCGAGGGTCAACGCTCTCAACTCGAGCGCGGAGCTCCAGCCAATTGCTGCGCGCAGATTCCGCCTCCTTAACGGTAATTTGAGAGGCATCGGTGGCTTTAACGCCGTGCTGCGGATTCATTGCGTCGACTTCGTTTTCTTCAGGTTTGCCGGTATCTGCATCTGCAGTATCGGTATTCCGTTGATATTTTTCACTTTCACCCGTACTATGCTCGGCTTCCTTGGCCGTCGTCATCGTCAGCACATCAAAAATGCAATCAAACAGCGAAAGGCGCCTCGTGTTGTCCTGGGCGGTAACCACGGACTCAAAAGAAGAAGAAGTGGTGGCTGAAGTGAAACTTTGAACCGACATAGTTGATAGAATGTAGCTGGAGGAGATCGATAGTTGTGGCTGGTCAATCGCAAATTCGATAATGGTTTATAAACTCGAAGTGTCCGCTTGGTGGTCAAGTCCGATCTTTGATTGGAGCTATTCACTGAGCACCACGACAGGATGTCTCGGTCATAACATTTCAAGTGCGACAAGTTGATAAACTGTTCGCATGAAATAACTGAGCTTTTTCCAATTGCACAGTCAAACGCTTCTCAATCGAGGTCATTGTTCCCACTCCCTCGAGAGACGAAAGGCTTAAGCGCATAGTGATGCGTGGCTTCGAATCTCATGTCAAGACCGTGACATTGTTGGGACTTCTTAAATGATTCAGGGACGGTGTATGGAAACATCATTCATAGCAAAGATAAATGCTCCAAATGAAGTGTTTCTTCATTTCCGTTTCGATTGCTGGTGCAGAATCTGGTTCCATGTAGACACTTACACAAGAGAGAAAAAACAGCATGGTCGTTCGCGTTACATACCCTTTCGCGTTCGAAAGGGTAGATAACCCCAGAACTAAAATAGGCGATCCTAATTTCTGCAGAACCAAAAAAACAGTTTATCAGCAGCTCACAGCTTGAGGTCATTCGGGAATGGTCTCTGTGGAACCAGCGTTGGGCCCGGGTATTAGTGCGGTATTGCAAAGATCAAAGACAAGACAATGGAGACCCTTGGTCTCTAAGCTGCTGCGTGTGTGGCAGCGTATGCAGCTCAGTTATTATGGCGGCAAGTATTCGATTCATCGGGTGCTTGCTCTGGAGGAGTATTGCAGGAGCACATCATTATCACGCGCTCTTCTTGTGTGCGTGGCGACTCCTCTTCCTATGGTGGCTCTTATCTTCGGACAGGAATTGATCCCGCTGCAAGAGTTAAGTGAGGGATGGAGTGCTAGTTACGGGATGTGGATGCGGGCTGCTGTACTGGTGGGAATCGTGACCCACGCACTATTGATCCAAGCTACATACCTCATCCACGACTTCAAAGTCACACTAAGACAAAGACTTCAGCTATACGTGATCATGCCGACAATAGTCGTGGCTTTGGCGATGCTTGTAGCATCAAATTTTGTTTTCCCCATCCCGTTTTTTATTTTGTTCGTGACGCCGCCGTTTTATCTTCTCCTGGTCATCATGCTTCGAGCAGTTATCGGGGCTCATGACTTCCGCCAAATGCTAAAGAACCGCGTTCAAGTGGCTCGATGTGTTCGCTTCGTTTGTGCCCAGACGTCGACTGTTTTTATCTTCCCTGTCTACGAAATGTTGTTTAACGCCGCAGAAGGAACTCCTTACCAGCTTCCTGTAATCCTGTTACTCCCCGTGATTAAAGTTGCGCTAAAGAACCTTGTGCTTCATTTCGCTAAGGCTCTGGATGATATGGCGCCCGTGGAAGTCATTTTTACCGCAGATTTTTTCAACGCAATCTATGTGGCCACCAGTATCAAGAGCTCGACATCATTAGCCGCTATCTCGGCCATCACGATTACAGATCTTTCCCAGACGTTCATAATGCTTTACGGGCTGCAGCGTCGCACTGCCACAATTCTCCCAAGACTTCGACATGGCAGCGATAGCACAACCAGTATCGACGGTGTATTATCGATCATGTGTGTACTCTGCCGAAACCCGGAGGTCCTGAGGAAGCAAGTACACACTGGGATTCATCAAATACCCGCTATTGATCGAAGTTTGCTCGACAGCTTGGAGCAATCTCTTGGAGTAGAGTCTCGTACAATAATCCAGCCAGATTCTAACAATTCGAGCTCCCCTTCTCCCGATAACAACTCAGGATTGAGCTGCTTACGTCGAATATTTCAGCAAAATGGCATCCATCCGATCACTGAGACTATGCAATCATACGCGCACACAGCGTCCAGTAGCGCTACTATTCTTCTGGAAGCGCTCCAGATTCTGTTCACTACGGAATGCCTCGTCACCACCGCCTACTTGGAAGCTTTCATGCCCTTATTTTACAGCAGTTACATGGTCGTAATGGTTCACCTCCCCAATGTTCGCTATCACTTAGAAATGGCTAAGGTCACGCGAGAAAACATCACTTCGACTGTGCTGCCTCTCGTCGTGTTTGGCCTACTACAGATAGTGTCGCTCGCTCTTCTGGTTGTGGTCATCAAACGCAATTGCCGACTGAAACCGCTATATCAACTCGCTTTTGTGTTAGAGACGCAACGCTCGCTTGTGCAATGCAAAATGATGCTTTGGATGGTGATTACATTATGCTTTCGAGTGACCCATTTTGGTAAGTCTACTCGTTGATGCGCGATACATGCAAATCAAAAACTAACGCATTTTTTTGTTCTCTTTTATGCTGCAGGAGTCGATTTCAAGTTTGAATTTATTCGTCTTGGATTGCCGAGATTCTGGATTCCACAAGGGTGAAGCTGTAGTAGTGGACGAAGCGTTACTGTTCGGGGTCTGTGCTGCCTTGATCGGGTGGTTATCTGCTCAGAACCGGCAGTTGAGTTAACCCCTTGGGACCCGTGGCCTGGACCGTACATGTTACGTGAAAAATCTTAACGTGGACCGTACAAGTTAGATAATATTGTACTTAGTTTTTGTATGCGCACATACAAACTTCATGTCAACAAGGGGTAGGTAATTATCCACACTTCCTGCAGAATCGACATAAATATGCGCTTTAGAAAAGCCAAATTTTCAAAAGAAAGTACACAACAGATCAAACTTGCAAATTGCATATGTATTACGAAAGGAAAAGACTGGTCGCCACTCAATTTTCTCTCATTTGAAGATTCGCCGCGAAGCACGCAGAACTCACGCCGTCGCCGGTAATGGCGTTCCGGGCGAGGTGGCGGGAGCTCAAGAAAGCTGGCTGGCACTCGAAGAAACCGGCAGGCCTGTCGGTGGACTTCACTTATCTGAAGCCGAGCAAGACGAAGAAGGATATCCGGGGCGAGGACTATTTCGTCGGAGAGGAGGAGTTAATGACGTACCTGGACAAAATGGACATTGGTAGGCAAATGCAAGTGGTGTACATTTTTGATTTATTCTAACGCTGATGTGAGATTAGCTGCACTAGAGGCAAAGAAGACAGCGAGGCGAGAAGGGTCTGCGAATGCACAGAGAGTTGCAGAGAAGCGCGCAGCAGAAGCCATGACGACCACAAACGACGGTAACTATCATGTATTCGACAAGTTTTGAGATTAACTAATCGTGTATGTTGGTATTATCATGTACAACAACAGCACTGCGAACACCGCCACCAGAGGTGCAGGCTCCACCAGAAGCGTCTGCAGTAGTTCTGGCATCGACACACATGACCATTTCTGATGCCACAGCTGGTTCGTGCACGTCATGTTGCTGCTTGCCTTTGGTTCTGCTGGCCTGACCGTGAATATACTGTTGTAGATCCGTCACCTGAAAGGCAACGTAACCTTGCATCGGAGTTTGACGATATAGACAGCGGTAGTGAGCCATCGCATGACGCAACAGAAGATGCCCAGGACTCAGAAGGTGATGATTTCACACCTGCAGTAAGCGCGAATGAAGAGTCAAACGGAGGCTCAGGAATTTGTGATGTCTCTACTGGAGGTTGGTCAAAGCTGTACATACACGTTTGAAAATTTATATAACTTGTATATTCAATGCTAGGTGTTCTTGCAGACGCTAATCTCGTCGAAGCTTCCGACGACCCCTGAGTGTTTGTAACCTTTGATTCTGATGCTGAAAACGACGATGGAGATGATGAGAGTGAGGATCATCTTGAGGATATTTCCGGGGCGGATATTCAATTACCCGGTCCTCCCCAGCTACGTTTTGACGGTGAATTGGTATCTGCTGTCGGTGGTATGGCGAATATCGCATCGGGCTCCTTGTCAGACACATTTCTGAAGATGATGGCGGACACAGGATGGTCCGACGTAGCGACCACAACACCATACGAATACTTGCAGCAACCGTATGAGCCTCGCCCTGCTACCGCTATGTATGATGACTATCCCAACCTGTACAAAGGAGCTTCAGGGCCCACCGACAAGGCAATTCGAGCTGCAGCTACCCCATCCGGTGTCTTCTTCTATTTCATGCAACCAGATCTCTGGGAATCTATCGCTGAGGAGACAAACACGTACTTCAGAGAGCATATTGACGAAAGAGTGGATGGTCTTCATGCCAAACAAGTTGTTCGTGAGCGGAAGAATACTGGCTACAAATCAAAGAGCAAAGAAAAGCTACGGAACGAGTTGGAGAGTTCCGCGGACATTACGCCCCGAGAGCTTTGTGTATTTTTGGGTTTATTGATTGCAAGATCAATTGTTCCCAACAAGGAGAAATTGGCGCATCACTGGAGAACTACGGACGAAGGGGCAATTCCACGAGGGTGTTTTGGTTTTTTCATGGCTCGAAATCGCTTCATGCATCTCTCGAGGAACCTTCATTTTAGCCGAAACGGGGACGAACGCGCTGCAACAGATAGGGCGTGGAAACTACGACCGGTTATTGACGCTCTGCAGAACCGCTTCGCAGCAGGATACACGCCTCCATCAATCATGGCCTTCGATGAGGCTATGTTGCCTTCGAGATCAACGTTCAACCGGATGAGAGTGTATATGAAGGATAAGCCACACAAATGGGGAACGAAACTATTCATGCTGTGCTGTTCAACGACTGCATATTGCATCCGGTATGTAGGACGTGCTCTTTGGCACGTCACTTTTTTTTTTGGTTGTTGGCTTATCATGTACGGTCCAAACTAATATTTTTACTATGATGTACGATACAGGTTTGAAGTTTATTGTGGCAAAAAAGAAGAGGGCTGGAGGAACAAGTTCTACTGACTACAAGTCCGGCCCTGCAGCCGTCGTGCGCAACCTCCGCGCGGTATTTGGCCCCACGGCCCCTGCAGACGGTTCCATGCGCCTCGTTGTGACAGACCGGTTCTACACGGCAGTGCCGCTCTCGGTTCAGCTGCTTACCATGGGTTTCTACTCTATCGGCACTGTGCATACCGACCGCTTGGGGCTCAGCACTAAGTTCATACCAAAAAAGCAGAAGGGTGACAAAAAGAAGCCGCCTCAGATACCGAAGAACCGACCATCAAATATTGAGAGAGGCACGTACTCAGTGGCCAAAGCACTCCAAGTTCCTGACATGAAAGTTGTGCGTTGGTGGGATACACGATCGGTGCACATGCTAAGCACAGGTGGAAGTGTTGCGATTGACCGAATAGTACGCCGTGAGAAGCTGACGGGTGAACAACAAGAAGTGGCCTGCCCCCGTATTGTGAAGGATTACCAGACGTACATGGGAGGTGTCGACGTGCACGACCAGCTGCGTCTGCAAAGGTAAAGTGCATCAATATTGTTCATACAAGTTATGGATATATCTAATCGTGTATGATACATGTTGTAGATACTCGCTGCAGCTATGTATCAAGTACAAGAAATACTATAAGTCTCT